TAATAATAATAATAATAATAATAATAATAATAATAATAATAATAATAATAATAATAATAATAATAATAATAATGATTGATGTAAATAATAATTATAATAATTATATATTTTTTTACCTCCATATTTCCTTCTTTTAAAAATCTTATAGCATTTTTTAATGCATCAGTTGGACTTATTTCATAACTACCAAATGGCATATCACCAATTAAAAATGGGGATTTGGCACCTCTTGCAACTGCTCTACAATGATGTAACATTTCCTAATTAAATTAATTAAATAAAACTAGAAAGCTTGTTATCAATGGAATAAAGGAAATAAAGGAAATAGAGGAAATAAAGAAAAAAAAAGAATTCAAAATTTAATTATATATAAAATATATATGTATACATAAAACATATATGTATACATAATATATATATATATATATATTCAAATTCAATTCAATTATTAATTACCTCCACAGTAGTAGGATTAATATTTTCATGACCTAAAGCAACCATACCTAAAGAATCTCCAACCAAACAAATCTCAATGCCAGCTTTTTCAACAAATAAACCGCTTGGATAATCGCATGCTGTTAATACTGTTATCGGTTCATTATTTTTATAACGATTTTGTAAATACGGAATTGTAATTTTTTTGTTTAACTGTTTAACTGTTAACATAAGTGTTTTAAACAGTTTAAAAAAAAAAAAAAATTAGAATTTTGTATAATTTAAATAATTTTTCATGTAAATTTTATAAATACCTGTTTTCGGGGTAATTGGACTTGTACTATAATGTTTTAATGAAATAAAAGAAAATAAAGAGGAAAATTTATGAGAACGTTTTAAAATTATTTGCGATATGAATTTTGTCTTATTAATTCTACACATTCTACACATTCTACACTTTCTACACATTCTATACGTTCTACATATTCGTATAAAAAAAGATTATTATATGATAAAGCAAGGATTATCTTGATAACATCTTGATAACATCTTGATAACATCTTGATAACATCTTGATATTATCCTGATAGCTTGTATTAAAACCAGTTTTGATTTTCGACTTCTCGTTACAGGTTCACGGTTACGCAAATCCATATCCATATAAATAATAATAATAAATAATAAATAAATGATAATAAATAATAATAAATATAATAAAGAATAATATGCAATAGAGGAAAAAAAAAAAAAAGAAATAATAATGAATCATAATATAAATAATTAAATTAATCAAATCAAATCAATCAAAATAAAATAATAATTCTTTTATCAACTAATTTTATAATAAAATTAATAAAAAGAAAGAAATATCAATATCACATTTATAGGATCTCAGCACATTTAATTACAGTACAATTCAAAAACAATGCTACTTTTAATTTGTTCTCACTTATATTAACAATATTAACAGAGACTAATTTGATAAATGAAGTTTTTCTTCTCTTCTTTATAAATAATAAATAATGAATAATAAATAATAAATAATAAATAATATGAACATGAAGTATATTGATTTTTTTATATTTTTTTTATATTTATTATATTTATTATATTTTTTATTTTTTTAAATATTTTTTATATTACTGATGCGTTCTTTAAAATGTTCTTTAATTGTTCTTTAAATGTTCTTTTATATGTTCTTTATAAGTTCATTTTATATTATATGTTCACGAAATTACCTTTTACATATTTTGCATCCAGATTAACAATAATTTTCATTACATAAAAGATTGCATAATCATATTATTTATATTGTCTACATTATCTATATTACGTAAAATAAATTTTTCATAGTTCAAAAAAAAAAACAGTTACACATGATCGAATCATATAAAATAAGTATAAAAAAACGCCTTGAACGTGAGAATTAGATAAATATCTCTTAATATTTCTTGTCAAGATAAAAGGTGTTGAGAAATTAAATAATAATCAATAATCAATAAGTTATAGATTCATTATAATGACAATTTAATTAATTAATTTGATTAATTTGATTCTTATTTTCTTATTTGATTCTTATTTGATTCTTATTTTCTTATTTTCTTATTTCTCCCTTGATTATAGATAATTTTCATTGTTTTTTTTTTTTAAAAAAAAAATTTGTTTTTAATTGAAAAAAAAAACAGATCAGGGGCAAGTAAAATATCTTCCCATAAATTCCCTATATGTTCCTATATGTTCCTATATGTTCCTATATATTTCTATATAAATTAAAAAATAATGATCTGGAGTCTAGACTTTCAACTATAATTTATTATATAGTACAACATATTGATTTTTTTTTTTTTTTGAGTCAATGTTTTTTTTACACAGGTCCACAATTATTAATGAAAATAGTGAAACGTAATAACTGTAATAACTGATAAAAAGCTAAATATTTTTTTTTATATTAATCATAATCATTTTTATTTTATTTTATATTAATCATTCACTTTATTTATTTATTTATATTTATTTATTTTATATCAAATTTATGTCATGTTATATTTTTTATATCATCATAGACTTATAAATACCCCATTAAAAATTTTCGTCAAAGATACTGTTGAAAAAAAAAACATTTTTTGATTTTTAATAAATAAATGTATAAAATTTTTTAAATTCTTAAATAATTTTATTCCAATTTTTTAAGTTTATTTAATAGTTAGATATTTATAAACGTCATCATGAGAATCACCGAGTCTTCCTCTTTTCCTATAATTTCAACTGATAGTTCAAGTTGTACATCTGAATCAATAGAAACTTCCCCTAATATAAATAATATAAATATGAATAATATTAATGAAACTGAACATGATCTAGAGTGGTACGTTTCTGTTATCAACCAATTTTTAAATTCTTCCGGTGAAGTTCTTGAAGGTGAACCAAGTGGTGACGCTAGATTACAATATGCAATAAGACGTTATCACGAAGCACGTAATCTATTTCCGGATTCATATGACCTTAAGGTAATGTTTTCAAAAAATTTTAGTTATTAATATATTATGACGGTTAAGATCTTTTTTAGTTTGAAATTTTTAAAGAAATTTATAAAATTCACTTACAATGTAGCTAAAAAAAAAGTGATCCTCTTGTTTTTAATATATTTCTTTACTTAAATGAAATGTATTCTAGCTGATATTTTATTTTATTATCAAGCACATGACTCATTATAAATTCAATATCAAAACATTATCAATTATCAATTCATATTAATCAATTATCAAATTATTAATTCAATTAATTTAATTAATTCACTTCAATTAATTCACTTCAATTAATTCAATTAATTCACTTCAATTAATTCACTTTAATTAATTCATTTAAAACGATTCATATTATCAAAAAATTTTTAAATCACAGTTTATAGGTCATAAAATTGCTATAAAAGAAGGGGATATGACTCAAGCGGAACAATATTTCGATGAATTGTGAGTAAACTTTTTAAATTAAAAAGAATTCAATTTTCTTAAATTAAAAAGTTTTTTTTGGATAGTTCAAATCTTATTATTATGCTATATATTACAAATAAAGAAGACGACAATTTCCCGATCATGAACCGTTAAAAGAATATCTTGTGGAAATCACAAATTCCGTACGCCATCAAACAACAGATGATAATTTCAGTGAGTAGAGCAGATTTACTTTCATGTAACTCATTTGTGCATTATTATAACTGAGACTCTAAGCCGTACTTTTAGTGGGATTTTTAGAAGTTGATCCCAAGTCTACGTTTATTAATTCAACGACTAAGAACTGTGGTAATGATACTTGAACTATCGCGTCTTTAAATTTCCACTTTTCCACTCTGATTGATTTTATATATTCTTCTATATTCTCCTTTTACTATATTTTCCTTATTCTTTCTTCTATATCTTCTATATTTATTTATATTTATACCATATTGGAGTGGATAAAATACATATTATTTCAATTATTTCAATTATTTCAATTATTTCAATCATTTCAATTATTTGTACCAAAAAATATCATGCGATATTATGAAAATATCACGCGATATTATGCAACATTTTCTGTGAAAATCATAAACAAGAATGCATATAGATAAATATTTACTGAAATATTATATATTTATTATATTTATTATATAATTATTATATTTAATATATTTATTATATTTAATATTAGCATTTTTTCTTAGGCTTCCTGCTAGGACCCAAAGAGAAATATTAGTACATAGCGCAGGTAAAGGAGATTTAATATCTTTAATTCCATTGTTAATATTTGTTAATATTTGTTAATTCATTTTTAATCCATTGTTAATCCATTGTTAATTCATTGTTAATCCATTGTTAATTCATTGTTAATCCATTGTTAATTCATTGTTAATTTCTTATTGATTTATTTTTATTATAGTTCGACATGAAATGTCTAATAAGTTGGTGGATGCATGTCGATTATATGTTTTATTATTAAAGGCTTATCCAGATACCGCGACTTATTTTGGGGTAAAGATTTCATTAATTTGGAATTTATATTTTATTTTTTATATTATTTTATATTTATTTCATATTATTTAGGTTCATGCTGCTCAACTTGCGATTGAATGTGAAGCACAAAATCAGCCTCTCTCTGAATATAATTCTTATAGGAAATTATTTGGTTGGGTTTGATCTGAAATTATTGGTGACTCACTTTATAATTGCATAAATAAATTTCTCGTATATTGAGAATATTATTTTTATTTTTTTTATTTTTGTACAATATTATATTAAGTTGAAGATATATTATCCGTTATACTTCGAAATAAAATTATCGTACACAAAGAATCTTTACCATCCGATCTAAAAGTCTACAACAAACAGGATTATTTGTCTATTCCAGTGTCAACTCCAACGAATTATCCACAAAATGTTGATGTTGTTTATAGTGAGTTGAAATTATGGCTTGAAAGGGCTCAAGGATTCTATATTGCAAGCAAAGATTGGAAAAAACTTTTTGAAATTTCTTTAACCGTTATGGATAGTACTGGATATTTGGTCTTTCCAAGGTATTTATTATATTATATGCATTTTATTTTATGTATATAATCTTATTCTATTTTTATATAATATATTTATATATATTTTTATATAATATTATATAATATTATATTCTATTTTTATATAATATATTTATATATATTTAATAATAATAATAATATATATATACACAAATAATAATAATTTATTTGTTTAAATAGTTCTCCAAGGATTTCACTTGAAAGTTTTTTCGAAGATCCGTCACAATTATATGTAAAATTGTTCAACCTACTAAACCAAAAGCCTGTGACTTTCTTGACACAAGAAACTACCCAACATTCTTTTTGCATTTCAATTGGTATAGCATGTTTTGTTCATTGCTGTCACGAATTTTACAAGTTAGTGTCAGGTTCGAAAAACATGTCATCTGAGGGTATGTTGCTTCTCTTTAAATTGATAAAGTTTAGTGACAAAACCCGTTCCATTTTATATCAACTTTTCATGTATATAATTAATTTGTAGCATTATATTCTGGACACTTAATGTAATGCCTACATCAAAAATTGTATAGAAAATTAATTATCCTACCCTTGGTTACAAATATGTATTCTCTTTTCCCCTAAAAGGTAAAAGAAATTGTCTTATTCCTATTTGGATTGAGAAGGTTAATACAGAAACTGTTCCTACACCACCACCTTCTTCAATTAAGACTCCTACGATTACTACACCGATTAAAGGATCAACCTCTAATGCTCATCATTTATTACATGATGATTATGATGAAGTTATTGATTCAAGGGTCAGCAAAAAAAGGAGAGTAAGTTTTTTATTGACTGAAGATTCCAGTGACAGAGACAAACGTGTTGATTATGCTCATATTACTGAAAATATGAATACGGAAAAGCATGAAGTTAGTAGAGGAAAAAATGTCATGAATGTACGAAATTTATTGACTAACGATGAAGATTACAAAGATTACAAAAATTACGAGGATATTCAATCGGAATTATGGCAAGGTGTTTTATAATTAAAAATTTTGTTTATTGACTATACTTTTTAATTACTTTTTGACTTTTATTACTTTTTAATTTGTATTACTTGATTTTTATACTTGTATCACTTTATATTAAATCCATTTCTTTTTTTTTCACAGATTCTTTTAATTTAACGATAACAATCGTTTGTGATGCTACTGTATATTTGGAACGAGCATTAGGTTGTTGGGATGATTTGGAATTAATGTTTAGACGTGGAGGTAATGAACCACAGAATTTGGATAAAGATTTGGATAAAGGTATATATTCATTTAAATACGATTAACTTGACATTTTGACAACTTGACATTTCTGACATTAATACATTTTATTATTGGTCAGAGGTTAACCGACAACTCAAAGCTTGGAATTTACCACTTGATGTCTCTAATGCGGTAATGTTAACGCGTGCAGATTGTGAACTAACGAAAGGAAATATAAGTATGGCATTAAATAATTACCGTGAAATAACATCACGGATTTCTAGAGCGTGGGGCGAGTACCGAACAAAAGAATCTCAGAAAGATCATTTAAAGTCACTAAATGACGATATTTTAGATCAGACATTTATGGATGAATCTTCTATAAAAGAATTATCTCCACTTCTTTTAACTTTTCGCGTTATATATTCAATTTCTGTACTTTATCGTGCTATTGGTTTGTGGGCACAAGCTAAAGTTGAACTTTGCATAATTTTGGCTACTGTACCATTCACACCTGTTGATAAAGATCATTTCGAAAAAGATGATTTGTATATTAGCAATACCAAAAGAAACATAAATTTTAATGAAAAATATAAACATCAAAGATTCAAACTGATGGAAGTAAATCAAGAAGGTTTAGTGATTAGAGTAATTAAAGAATTAATGGCTTGTTTCGAGGTGAGCTTTTTTATTTATTTATTTATTTATTTATAAGATTTGATTACTTTTCGTTTTGATGTTGTAATCGAAAATTGTTCTTGTCTATTTATTATTTGAATATTATTTAAATTATTTAGGATGAACTTGATAAAGTAGAGGACCCTCTAATGGATAAAACAATAGGCAATATAATAATTTTGTCCCAATTTGGTTGGCCTTACTGGCATGATCGAGTGTTAAGCCAAGTGATATTCCCGAAGATTAAAAGTCGTGGGGGGTTAAAATATCCGGATTTGTTGAAATTTATGTACAGTGAGTAAATACTTTCTTGTTTTCATTAACATATAATTGTTTATTTTATAATTGTTTAATATTTAATTTATTCGTCAATAATTTAATAATTTATGATAGATGTTGAAATACTAGGTGAAATTTTAGAATTACATAGGACATCTCCGGATCTCGAATTTTCTTTAAATCCGGTTTCTGAAAATGATCCTACGCCTGCATCAACCACTTTATCAATAAAAATTTTGGAAAATCGTATAGAAAATCCTATCGAAATTCATATAAACGAAATAATGGTGAAATTTTTTCGCGCGAGGTTGAAAGATGAAACCTATAGTAATACGAATAATACAAATCTATTCAACTCTATGCCTCAGCAAGAAGGGTACGAAATCATAGAAACTTCTACATCTGATGCACAGATTTCAAAAACGATATCAAAGAGTTGGAAGATGAATGTGTCAGCAATAAACAATAAGGATAACACTGAATCATTTTCAAATCAAGTACGAATTAATAATAATAAAGCAAACATTTTTTACAATTGTGAAAATATGGATGAAAAGGAAGGGTTATGACACGATCAGAACATTGAAAATTTGAAAACAACAATAATAGAAATAATAATAGGAGAGGGAGAGGGAGAGGGAGAGGGAGAGGGGGGGAGAGAGAGAGAGAGGTGAACAAAGTGACAGTGATAGAAGAAAATACCATATATAAATAATGATGATGTTATGACAAAAATTCTTTATTTTAATGCATAAAATTTTTGACAATGTAAATACAAATCATCATAACATTAGTTTTATGTATTTGATCATTTATTGCATAATGTCAAATGTAAAACATACAATCCCATCATTTAAATTTAATTGTATTTATTTCGATTTGAAACAAATTAAAGGAAATTTATTTAATTTATAATTTATCCTTCAATCTTTTATATAACTTATTTTTTGAATTTTTTGCAGATCTTTAATTTCTTGAATTTCTTGTAGATCTCTACTCATCTCTTAACATAAATAATATAAAAAAAAAAAAAACATTAATCACCAGATCTTATTCTAATATTCCATTTTTTAGTTTTCTGAAGAAATTATTTTCTTAGTAGTGCAAATGTATTATAAAGTTTATATCACATGAAAGAGGAAATTAACATTAGAAATCAAGTAGCACAATCTCTTTGGAAGTGGACTTTTGTGTATGTATTACATCTATAAATGATAAAGGAATAACACATGAGATCACTGATCACAGTCTTTTCAAGGAGAATGATATCATTGCTTTATAAAACTTGAATAATTTTTCAAGTTCCCCAACCCCCGAAACCAAAAATTTTATACAGGTGGCATTCCTTATTTCTTTAACAAAGGCTAAGAAAGTTCCTTCTTTTTTCTGTGATTTTTGTCAAAGGGTTCCGCGAACCCTCCTAATCCGCTAAACTAGTTGCTAATTTATTAGATTTATTAGTCTACTTATTTGTAACTTTAAAATTTTACGCAAGTCCAGTTGCCTTTTATTTTTTTTTATCCAACTGGCGTCTGTATATACATAAATTATATATATATAATATTTGTTTTTTTTTTTTCCTGGCCACCTTTCCGTTCCTCTTTGAGAGCGGGTAGAAATTACGATCAGATATCACTAGTATTGATAAATTCTATTTAGTAAGAAAATGGGAAATTCGATGAACAAGGATAAAAGTGAAGAAGCTGTAGACGGAGGACAATTAGTACCACACGGAATGTATAAAGGGTCTCAAGATTGGGACTATAGGGGTGTCCGTAAACTCATCATAGAACGCAAATTGGCACCTTTCTATAAAGGGCTTGCAGACCATGACGAGAGTTGGGACGAAGTCACTTTGACAACCCACAACCTTCCAAAAAATGGAAAAGGTTCAACAATTATTGAGGAATGTCAACCAATAAAACGTGCTACTACATCAAACACAGTAGGATCAACCAAAGGCAAAGAAGTTTCTACAAAGTCGTTGGAAACACAATTATATAAGGGAGCAGTTGAATGCCCTATTTGTTTTTTGGTGAGTAAAAAACATCAGTGGCAATATTCGCAAATGGATTAAGGTAGTTTATCATTAGAGGATTAATTTATATATAGAAGAATATTATTAAGTATATTATTAGTCATTCGAAGCATTCTTTAAACTGGATTTACGAAAGTAATATGAAGAAAGTAATATATGAAAAAATAATATATGAAAAAATAATATATGAAAAAATAATATATGAAAGTAATGAGATCATTTACTGAAAATGATCCCATTATTTTCATATATTATTTTTTTTATATATTATTATTATTATTATTTTTTCACAATATTATCTCTTAACTAGCAAATGTTGCAAATGAATTTCCAATGTAATATGAAATTATTATTATTTTATTATTAATTTCAACATTGCTAATTTTCATTATTTTCATTATTTTCCATTATTTTCATTATTTTCCATTATTTTCCATTATTTTCCATTATTTTTTTCCATCGTTTTCCATTATTTTTTTTTTTTAATTAGTATTATCCGCGAAATATTAATCATTCCCGATGTTGTGATCAACCAATTTGTACCGAATGTTTCGTTCAAATAAAGCGACCCGAAAGTGGGACATTAGGTGCTAATAATTCACCTGCTGTATGTCCTTTCTGCGTTGAACCCAATTTTGGTGTTTGTTATAAACCTCCTTCATTCAGTACCGGAATTGGAAGTGAAAGTATGGTGTGTATATATAATATAAATAATTGAAAATCTGTTGATATATTTTATAAATTTATAAAATTTATATAAAAATTTAAATCTTATTTTTATAGCCTACTCCTAATTCTGGTATTTCCTTGCTACCTACATCGTCGTCTTCATCTTCACTTAGCGTATCTGATGGAAAAGCACGACGGAAGAGTGTTAGTCATAAAAATCCTGATGTTGTTACTACCGGTATGATATTTTTATTTTATTTTATTTTATTCTATTTTATTTTATTTATTTATTTTTTATTTATATTCTATGTAAATAGAAATATAAATAATATAAATAATATAAAATTTAATAGGTTTTGTTACTAAAAATGTTCAAAGCTTAAATCAATGAATTTAATAGATTTTATTTCTGACTTTCGTGTATATATATATATATATATATTTATTGATTGATTGATTGATTTATTCATTTATTTATTTTTATCGAATTAAAGATCAGATTCGACCGGATTGGGCCATGCGCACACTTCAACCTGCACGTCAATCACCAGGTGCGAGACGACCTTCAACTACGACATCGACTAGTAGGCGTGTTTTAGTTCGTCCGAGTGGAGGCAACAATTATGTCAGCTCCAATACACCACCAGCTCGACGTAATAATCCTTCTACAATTGGTGCTCCACCTCCTGCCGAATATGGAGGATATTGGGCAATGAGAATGGGTACTGATTTAGAAGAATTAATGGTCATGGAAGCTATTCGATTGAGTCTTATGGAACAGGATGAAAGAGGGAGGAGAGAAGCGGAACAAAGAGAAAGTTCGGATAGATCACAAGATGAAAACCCTGATATCATCTTCTCTTCTGAAGATTCCACGTCGGGTACAATTACAATTTCGCATTTATCTAGTAATGAAGGTGGCATTGAAAATGTCTCGCTTGATGGAAATCTGCAAGAAAATGATTGCAGAAATTCTAATGGCGATGGTACACAATCAGAAATTGATTCACATTTATCACGGGATGTACAAATATATCATCTTATTGATGAGAATGAAGAGGATTATGAAATTTCATCAACTTCACATTCTCACAATAATATTTCAACCACGCCAATAATTACAAGTACAGAAAGTGGAACGATAACGAGCGCATCTGCACCATCTTCGTCAACAGGATCATCATCGCCATCTACAAAAGATTCGACAACAACAAATTCGACAACAGATTCTACAACAAATTTGACAATAAATTTGACAACAAATAAGACAAATGATGTGCTAGTCGACCCATCACCACCGCTATCATTTTCAAGAAACAATATTTTAACGGTGGCAGAAACAACAGAAGTGTCCGAAGGTTCCAGCGAACAAGAGAATCCCCCATCATTTGACATTACCCACAGAGATGATGTATTGTTATCTTCAGATGAACAAGATCAAACGTCAGAGAATGCAAATGATATAAAAAAACAACCAGTAATTATTTTGCCAAATACATCATTAGTTGAAGAAGTAATTGAGAGGGATGGTGATACAAGAGATGCAAGAAGTGGTCAATGATTCAAATATCTAAAAAAAAAGGGAGAAGTATTCTTGACTGATAAAAAAATCAATTGTAATTTAACACATTGTTAACCCTGATTATTTCATTAATTCCTGTTGAAAGAACATGAAATAAATTTATTCTTTATTCTGTTTATACAAATTTTGGTATTCATGTCTTTTAGATAAAATGGAGGGCATTTATATGCATTCAAAGTTAATATCAGGTGGAAATGTAGAAATCATTATCTTTTAGAAAGAGGATTTTAGATTGTGAATAGATTTTGCATATATAAATACATATATATATATATATATTATATTATATATGTGTATTCAATATTTTTCTCTTTATTTCATTTCTACCTATAATTGCTTTGTTGCTTCAACTCTTGTTTTATATCATTACAATAAATTTGTTCATTTTTTTTTTTTGAACCATTCATAATATTTTGTATTGTTTATTTGTTTCATTAGAAAAAAATTAGGATTTCATAAATGAAATTAATTTATTACTGAAATAAAAAAAAATATATATTTAAATATTCCAAATCAAATCTATGAAAAATTAATAGCAAAAATTATTACCAGAAAATTCGTTAAATCCAAAGTATTTGTGCAAAAACTATTTTAAAAATCAGTTACTCTAGAACCATAACTCCAATCTCCGTGCATCAATGGATCTTGTCTTGGCCCCCCAATCTCGCCTGTTAAAGGATTTTTATCTCCCTCAAATTTAAGTGAAGGTTTTTCCCTTAAATCAGGATGTAATTCTTTCTCGTCAGTTTCTTCAGTTTCAGTATTAAAAGAACCTTGATTTTTGCGCACAAGCTCCTCAAATTCTTTTTGTTCTTCGGGATTACCTAAAGGTACTGGACTTGGTCTTCTGAAAAGGTCGGGGGAGTTTGAATATAAGCGAGACTGACTAAATTGTGGAAATATTAATCTACGAATACGTATTAGTGACATTCTAAAATCTTGGATCGGACCAAGCATAGGGCAAGTTTGTTTTTATTGGTTAGTATATCACGTGATCAAAATGACCAATTTTATTGTTTCTTTAACAACACCAAACTTTAATAAATTTATATTCAAATTATTCAAATATTTTTTGTAATATCTTAAATCCATTTACTAATAATTTTAAATATAAAAAGTACAGAAAAAAGAATTAATATTTATTTAATTAATCTATAAAAATATTAATATTTTTGTGAATTATCTATATAATTTTATTTTCTTTATATCAACTAAATATTAAATCTAACTGATTCTAATTAATGAAGAAAAAAACTTTGAAGAGAAAATAAATATGTAAATATCAAAATAGAGTATAAATTAGTGAATAAACTGTTAATCCAAAAGGTTTTTCAATAAGAAATAGTACTAAATTAAAATTAATAAAGAAGTTATATACAATTAACTCTCAATATAATGAATCTAGTATCTGGGTCAATTAGACCTTTGTTATAAAAAATTCATTAATGGTACAACAAAAATTTATAAAAATCTGGTATAATATTGTTATCATGAGTTCTCTCCACTTTAATAATTTTTATTATTTATTATTATTTTATTTCTTATTTGTTATTTATTTTGTTAGTATAATTATTTGATATATTTTATTTATTAGTTATAATTAGTATTTATTTATTAGCATAATATGAATTATATAAATCAATAATATACACCGGCCTGCCAAAAGTATCCAGACAGCTGTTTTTTATCAAATTTTTTTAAAAATTTCAAGGGTGAATTCT